AAGAAATTAAAGACAAAAATTCTGCGTTAAAGGAGCTCATGCCAAAGCTACACAGAATAGCAACCAAAGCATACAAAAAAGTAAGAAAACAACATAAGAACATTAGAGAATTTGGCTTAGCTATTAGAAACCGTTAACACTAAACAACGCATTCTCTGTATCTGATATTTGCATTACTCAATACTCAAAACAGCCATATGAGATCAATATTTTATTATACCCATTTTAAAGATAAGGAAATATGGTTCAAAACCATTTCTGTGACTTGTGCAAACTCATCCCACTAGTAATTGATAGAGCTAGGATTTCTACTCAGCTAATTTCAGAGCCCCAAACACGAGCATTCATGCAGATAGTGCCTACCCAGCCAATCCCTCAGCCAGGAGTTTCCTTAATGGTTTCCAGAGACAAGCTGCCATTGTCTGCTGAGGCACAGTGTGGGAGACAGTTGTCACTGCAGTGAATCATTAAAGAGACACAAAGGTGGTTTCTACACGATGCCGAAGCAACCAATTACTTTTATCTACTTAATTAAACTATTGATCATGGACAGGGAGGAAGTGGGCTTAATCAAATCAATCATTTGACTGACTCCAATAGATTATCCAATCCGTTAATTAACCCACTGCCCTCCAGTCCATTCCAACTCACAGGGTCGCTATGACTCAGAATCAACTCAATGGCAACAGGTAACTAATGGAACAGATCATCTACTGAGCTGCACCAGGCATGTCCAGTCGTATGGAAATATTTAAAACAATTCAGTAAAATCTTTCTTGAATAAAAGACATTAAAAAACATTTTTTCCTCAAGAAAAAGCAATACAATCTCATATCCTGGATATCTGCTGTTATCCAGAGTAGCTGGAGAACCTTGAGTCATTGATGCTTACCAGTACTATAATCATTAATGCCCAGAGCAATCAAAACTCAAAAACGATAATAAAGGAAACAGGAATGCATGTTTATATACTAAATGTAGTATTTTAAGAAATGAAGGAAATTTAAAAATATTGACATGGAACTTATTTTTAAGAATGCTCTTGGGAAGAATAGCAGGCAGTTTTTTTTTTAGTTCACTCTAAATTTCTATTTCATACTATCTAACGCACTGTATTTGCAATCAGTCAAAAACCTCATGACTTCCACATTTTTTCAGAAAAGTAATTTCTCCTAAATAAGTAATATTTATAAGAATCCTATGTATAGTTTTGTGAATTCCTTGTCTTATTTAGATTACAAGTGCTCTTCCATAAACTGGAGAAAGTTTTCTTAAAGTCGTCTGTGACTCTAACATCCACAATACAGGGAGGTGCTCAGAAAAAATGCAGAGTTCCTTGCCTCATCCAGAGGTCCTGAATCAGAGATCCGAGGGGCAGGACACAGGACTCCTTATTTCAGCAACTCTGCCTCCGCTGATGATTCTTGTCCACAGTGCAATTTAAGAACCGCTGAGCTAAGCAATCATTCTCCTTTTTCCATAGTCTTCCAAGTTTAAGTAGATATACTTCACAATAAATCTGACATTGATTTGTGGTCTTAAATAAGCAAATTTCCCACAATATCTGTTTCTTGCTGAAATTTCTAGTGATACTACAAAAAGTGTTTTAAAAAATTGTTTTGCAAATCTAGGAAAGAGGCAGGACTCAGAGAAGATGACCTGTCCCCACCCGACCCCCAACACACACACACAAAAGCAGGAAATCTAGGGGAGGAGGAGGGAGATGCACTGTGAGGATGGTGTGCCGATCTGCATATTTACTAGGGTGAACCAGTT